ACCATGCCTCCCACAAAGTGAACTTAGTAGGACTGTTACTGATCAGTAGGTTAGTGACTTTGTCCACAGAGTCTGTCACTCATGCCTGATCATTCCTTTTTCTCATAGGTGGTGAACTGGCAGTCTCCATTTTGAAGGTGGGACAGAGATGGAAAATCCTGGGCTCTTAAATCGTTTCTTGAAATATTGCATTCTTGCCTTGGATGTGGGAGAGTGAGAAATAAACCTATTGCATCAAGTTATCAAGTCATTAAAATTTTGGACTTTGACATTTCAGATACCATTTTAAGTATACAGGTCAGTGGACCCCAGGGGTACATGTGGCAGACAAACAACAGTCTTGTGCACAGGCCTGGAAAGACTGGAGACGTGGCCCAGCAAATGAGCAGGCTTCATTGGGAGGGAGGCTTCCCTCTGCTCACATGTGCTGAAAACCAGACAATGTGTAACCCTACATTGTCCCACACAGTATGCAGATGGAACACACTAGTGCTTGATTTACTTCCTTAATTGCTTCCCCACTATCTGTTGGTCACCCTCAATTCCCAGTACAGTGCAAACAGTCATTTCCCTGGAGAAGGCTATGAACCCACATGCAGACCCACAGTACTGCACTGTTCCTTGATGATTAATAGTTTGCTTAGAACGGTAGGTGGCAGCATTGCAGTGTGGTTAAGAGGCAGGAGTCCTGAAATCTCAGTCTCTGTTAAATCCCTGCATGATGCTCACTGGACCCAGTTCTTAGGCAGAGCTAAGATGTGCTAGATTCTCAGCTCTAAGGCTATGGACAAAGCCACAGTATATGAGGATGCCTGCATCTAGAACATAGGGACCATTTTGTGCAGTTTTCTCTCTCTCTTTTTTTAAAGATATTTATTTATTAATGTATACAAGAACTGGGGTGTAGGCCTGAGGTGTGGGGGTGAAGGGGGTGAGAGGATTCACCAGAGATAGACTGAGGAGCTAAATAGGCAGATCTACTGAAACACACTGCTGAGGGGAGCAGTGGACAAGATAGGAGAGGTCTGCTGTGTCATGTGGGTTGCTCCCTGGCCAGGGATTGGACTCATGTCACAGTGGTTGGCTATAGTTTGATAGTGCTGAGATTTTAACCCCTGCTCCACCAGGGAGGCTCACAGCTTTTCTCTTTCATCCTCTGTGCACTTGAGTGGTGAGCCACTGGGACATCTTGCTAGGACAAACTGCAGCTCACTCTAGGTTTTCAAATATAACCTCTGGGGTCCCTAGTTCTGTGACCTGGGGCGTGGTGCTCAGCCTCTTGAAACCCATTTCCTCAACTGTAAAATGCAATGTAATGCCTGCTCTCAGTGGTGGAGGGAACTCACGCACCCAGCACATTTGTGGGGTGTCTATTACATCCTGACTCTGCTCTCTCCCATCCATGCAATGCTCTGTCACCTTATCTTTTACTGCTAGAGTTTTCAAAGATATCTTTCTTCATCTACTTTTATCTCTTTCCGATCTGTGTCCACATTGTAGTCAGTGACCTTTGTAAAATGGCAATCAAATCATGTTACTTGTGGGTTTTATCTCCATTACAATACCTTCCCATTGTATTTATAATAAAATAGAATCTATGGTATGTTCTATATAGGTTGTATGATTTCGTCCTAATGTACATTCTCAATTTCATATGATCAAGCTTCCTTTGTTTCACTATCCACATTCTTCCTTAAGGGTTGTTTTTTTTTTTTTTCCTGGAAATCTCTAATTTTTTTCCCTGCTTCAAGGCTATTTTTAGAGCCATGATATTCCTTGTGCACAATTCATTGTTTCACTGTTCAATTTCCATTCTGCTTTCACTCTTAACTCCATCTCAGAATGGTCATCATCCTGAACCCCCACCATACCAGTTCTTTAACACCTTCTCCTCTCTCCTCTGGGGTGAGCACCATGTGTCATTATTCTTTCTAATGCGTCCTCCCTGGAAGTCCTCCCTGAAAGTTCAGGAATTTGATTCTTTTGCTTACTGCTGTATTCTCGTGCTTCCTATCTCCAAACAGCAATACATATTTGCAGAGGAATTTATAAGGTCAATGTAAACAAATCGCTCCTTGCTGAAAACACACAGTGACTTCCAATTGCCCTAGGGAGGCTGCCTGGCTCCTCCTGCAGGGCTTCAAAGATCAGTCTCCACAGACTGAGCTTTGTGGAGGTGGAAGACAAGAAGGTAGAAAAGACTCCCATGCTCAGGCTCTCAGTTCTGCCTGTCTTTGCAGGAAGGTGCATGGCAGCCTTGCCCCAGTGTGCATTCCTCAGGCCTTCCCTTCCCACTGGGTGCTTGGGACAAAGGAGGGATGAGCTCTTGGAACTCTTTAGCAGCAGGGATTCCCAAGTCCAAGACACTGGAGTATATACTAGAGGGGTGGCCACAAACTCAGTCACATTTCTTTGACTCCAGGACAATTTGCCTATGTTAGAGTTGCCTTAGCAGGTCCTGGGTCTATATTCTTCATCTTACCTACATCCCTTCTTCTCTGCTGAGTCGGTCACCTTGTTTTCTTCACCTACCTGGAGCTCTAAGCCATCTTTGCATTTTCTGTTGTCTTGGAACAACTCAGGAACTCAGTCCTTCAGACCTCTGGATAGGTGTCAACGTGAAATTCCTGCCTCCCCTTGTCGCAGGGCCTTTCCTTACCTGTCCTGTTCTATTTGATTTTATCCATCACACTTATTCTCAGTTTGCTACTTCAGAAAGTAGGCTTTGTAAGGTGTGCGTTATTAGTTCTGTTTCTGGAGCGACCGGGGTCATGGACAAAGCCACAGTACATGAGGAAGTCTGCATCTAGAACATAGGGACCATTTTGTGCAGTTTCTCTCTGTAGGTGCTCAAAAAGCACCCTAATGAGGAGAGAGGATGGGACATCCATATGCTTCTGTGTTCTCTATATTTGGACTTACAATGATTTTGTACCATGTGAGCCCTTATATAAAATAATTAGTCACATATTTTAAGGTTAGTTGAAGAAAAATAGCAAAATTAAAGCATTCATTTAAATAATCTAAATTGGCACTGAGATTTCTCTAAAATTGCCTCAATTCTTTCCTTCACTTTGATGATGACAATCTGGTTTAAAAGTGCTCATAGATAATATTTTAATTAAAACTCACCGAAACAAACTTACTGTATTCTCACAAAGCTGAAGAAGAAAACATGGAAAATTGATGACTTTGAAATGAAGTGGGAGAAATATTAGAAGAGGAAATAGAGGTGTAATTATTTTACTTGTATGTTATTTAATTTGCACAAGGTCTAAGAATAGCAACTTCTATGAATATTCATGGTACATTTTTATTCCAGAGAATTTTATGAGTCATGGTAGCAAATATATTTATTTATTTATTGAATCCTCTTTACTTTTCAGAAAAAGTGTATTTGTTTTACTTATTTAAGGAAAAAGAAAACATGCAAAAATAAACCCAAATATAAATGGCAGTGTTTTATAAATTACTTAGTTTTATTGATTTCAAAGATTTTGCAGTATTTTCCATATGACAACTAACCTTGTAGTTAGTCACTATATCTAAGAGAAAGGATAATTAACTCTGAGGTCATAGGACAATTAGTCTTGAGTTGCTGTGGTCTGTGTGTGTAAATCTGACACTGGGATAAATTGAGTTTATTGAGTTTACGAAAAGTACTCTCAGGCAGGGGAAACAGTAATAAGTACATCTTTTTCTTACAAGCATTAGCTCAGTCTGTGCTATTGAAAATTTACTAATTTACTAGTCCTAATGGCAAAATTAGGACTAAGCCAAATAGTTTACACAGAGAAGAGATGACTCACCAGAGCGTCCTTCTATCATTGAGGACAACTTTTTTTTCTTTTTTTTTTTCATGCATCATGGATAAGCACCCAGAAAATGAGCGTCACTGTGGGTAGTCATGAGGGTTATGGTGGGCAGGTGATATAGGCAATGTGTTGACGGTTACCAGTTTATTGGTTCTCAACTTCAAGTTCATACTTCACTGCTTCATCTGTGAAAATGACAATGGGCCTCTTTAATAGATTTCCTTTGTCGGATGTAAATATGGGTAGAAGATGCCAGGCAGACACTGCAGGAAGAAGGTTGGGCCCCATGCAGTTGCCACCTTGCACCCTCTCCTTAGTCCTACACTTGGGCACAAAGGTACTGGGATATGACCTTTGTCCCATGGGGATTTGTTTCCTGTGGTTCTCTTGATGTGGACTTAGTGTGCCTTGATCCTCACACCTAAGAATACTCTGAGTCTCCCAGTCCATTAGCTTCAGTTTATCTGCACTCCAGGTAGATGTTATCAGTGGTCCAGTAACTTTAGACAAGCTCTATCCTAGGAAACTTAGCAAATTATTCATCCTCTAGCTAATATGACATTCCTCATTGATGTCCATCCGCATTGTGTCCATCATTGGGTTCTATTCCACTGCTCAATGATGTCATAAAGAGCCCTTTTTCTATCTCATCAGTTGCTCCCCTGTCTTACTTCCTTAGACATAGTTTATCCTAAGTTGGGACCATCTGTACCCACCCAGTGCTAACCATATGTGAGGTAATTGTTGTGGGTTATTTCATTAAGCCTCATAGATCCTATGCATGATTAGTTCTATTTGTGTCCTCATTTTATGATAAGCTAGTAGATTCTTTGAGAGGGTCAGTCAGAAACTTAGCAAGCAGTGAAACCTGGGCCTCCATTACTGTCTGTACTCTAGATAAATTGCAAATGTACTCTAGTACATTACTGTCTGTACTCTAGATAAATCACTGCAACCACTAGTCATGGTGACTAGTTAAATCCAATCAAATTAAATTAGATGAAAAGTTGAGGTCACCAGTTACAATAGCTACATTCTCAGTGTTCAGCAGCTACATGTGCCTAATGACTACAGCATTGGTCCACGAAGAAATAGAAGTTGGATGAAATAGAAGCTTCCATTTTTGCAATTCTGTTGGATGGTGCTGCTCCACATTAGGACTTGTAAAATACTCTGTGGTGAGGAACTTGTTATTTTTTCTTTCAATTTTAATTTCAATCCATTCTTACGTTTGTGTTGGGTCCTTTTTCCCATGAATGTCAGGTGGAGCAGCCCAGGTGAATTCACACCCACAGTAGATCTGTGTCACCCTAAAGAAATGCAAGACTAAAATATAAGGGATAAGAAAAATAAATTCCGAGGGAGAGAAGCAAACAGTAGTAGGTAGCCAAGGTGACAGGAAAAGATGGCAGACTTAAGATGTGATCAAGATGTAGCTGTTGCTGACCAGTTCCTGCAGCAGCACCACATAGAAATCTCAGATCTGCATTAGAGATGGACATCTAACTACAGACTGAAAAATGAACAAATTAAAATCCTAATTTTTGATGAACACGAACCAAGAAATGATGTCCTTTCTAGAATCTTGGGACTGTACATAGAATGGAAGAATTAAAGGTATGTCTGACCTTTTGTTCATATGTTATGGAGGCTGGACATCCCACTTATCCCTTGGTAGTAGTCACTATATTGTTCTGGTGCACTTGATGTCTTTCAGCGTGTTGGGGGTTTTATTTACAGAGAGTCTGTGTGAAAGCCTCGAGAATATGACCTCATTCTGGTGCCATTACAGAAATCTCTCACTGGATATCTTTGGTCCTACAGTTTTGGACACACTGTATAACTCTAATCTTCTGGGTTTTTATGTCTTCATGATACAGCACCTTCAGAAACAGTGATGAGCCCTTCATGTCTCAGTTCTCCCAACTACGTTTGGATAGCTGCCTCTTAAAAGCCCTTCTCTAAATCAGGTTCCAGGAATTCTCTGTTGAGGGATGATTCTTCATGGCCTCTGTTTATGTTGAATATTGAGAACTTTGTTCAAGAATGTTTGCCTAACACACAGTCTTGGCAGAAGAAAGACAACTCCCTCTGGAGAGATTTAGAAAACATCTTTCCTTGGAGGGTTTCCAGAGAAATAAAGATGCTATCTCTCTCTAGATAGAAGGAAGCCAAGTTTTCTAGAAGTCCCATCTGTGTAAGACCTGTGAAACTTGGAGTGTCTATTTCTCATGTGACACAAATTTGCTATCAATGTGGCATTTACCTGAGATACTCCACATAATACTCATGGCACTTAGGCATAGGGGTGGGGAAAAGGACACAGCACAAATGTAGAGTTTATGCTGCCACTGAATCAGGGCAATAACTTGTCTGAATCTGTGGGCTCTTTACCTTCTTACTGAATGAATGTAGTAAGTGTGGCTTTGCCACATAGCAGCACATCTGTGGGGCAGGAACTGCTTGACCATGGGCAATCTTTTTGAATGGTATTTTCTCATCTCTTATCACCTTCTCTCCCTGAATAGTATTCTCTCATCTCTCATGACCTTCTCTCCATTTCCCTCACCCTTTCTTCTTTGTTATGCCATGGATAGTTCATTCATGGCAGTCATTCATTTCTGATTCACTGTGCAAGTGTTGAGAGCCCACAGCATCAGGCACTGTTCCAGGTGCTCGGGACACACATTCATCATTCCTGTCTTCACAAAACTGTGTTCTAGTTGGAATGGTGCAGGGAGCACAGTGGATATGACAATGAAACAATATGCAAGTATTGTGCGAGATGAAAGTGATTGATGGACAGACAGGGACCATACTGTTTGACTATTTAGACTGAATTCCTTTGCATAGGTGACATTAATTTAAAATTTGAGTGAAATAAGAAGGAATCAATATTTTAAAATTTTTATTAATTAATTTATATATTTTTACCTCTGTTAATTTTTGTACAATGTTTGCTTTCTCCTCTCAGGTGTAGTCCCTAAAAATTCCACCACCAATTCACCTGTGAACCATCACCATAGTCCCTTGTGCTCTTCCCTCCACTGTTGCTCCTTCTATCTCCCTCTCCCCTGCAGATGTCTCTGATATATAGTTGCTCATTAATTTTTTTATTATTGTTATTATTTTTTTCCTGATCCCTTATTTGGTTCCCCTATATTCCTCCTATAAGTGAAACCACTGATGTTTTTCTTTTTCCTTTCTCACTTATTTCACTGAGCATAATTCCTTCCAGCTCCATCTATGTTGTTGCGAATGGCATGAGTTTATCTTTTTTTTTTTTTGAGTTTATCTTTTTTAATTGCTGAACAGTTGTCCATTTATATTCATACTGCATCTTCTTGATCCAGTCACCTATTTTTGGGCTTTTGGGTTGTTTCCATATCTTACCTATTGTAAATAGTGCCGTGATAAACATAGGATTGGAGGTACCCTTTTGATAATGTTTTTGTGTTCTTTGGGTAGATTCCTAGAAGTGGAATAGCTGGATTATATGGTAGCTCCATTTTTAGTAGTTTGAGGAAACTCCACACAGCTTTCCATGGTGGATGGACCAGTTTGCATTCCCACCAGCAGTGTAGGTGAGTAACTTTTTCTCCACATCTTTGCCAACATTTGTTGTTGCCAGTTTTTTTTTTTTTTTTCAAATGTGCCATTCTTGCTGGTGTAAGGTGGCATTTCCATGATTTACATTTCCCTGATTATAAGTGATGTTGAACACTTTTTCATTTACCTATTGGCCATTTGCATTTCCTCTTTGGAGAAGTGTCTTTTTAGCTCTTCTGCCCATTTTTTTTAATGATTTATTTATTTATTTATTTATACAAGCACTGGGCAGTCAGAAGCACAGGAGGGTGAGAGAATTCACCAGAGCCAGAGCAGGGAGCAGAACAAGCAGAAGGACCAAAGTACACTGCTAAGGGGAGCAGCAGGAGTGGCAGGAGAGGTCTGTGCACCATGTGGGACCCTCACCCGGCACCTGGGGATAGACCTGGCACTGCAGAGGCTGTGGGCAGCTTCACAGCCCGGCGCTTAACCTCTGCGCCACCAGGGAAGGCCCACTTCTGGAAAGTACTTTGGAAAGTACTTTGGAACTTTTTTGGAAAGTACTTTGGAACTTTTTTTTTTTTTTAAGATTTCATTTATTTATTTATACAGGCACTGGATACAGTCAGAAGTGCAGGAGGGTGAGAGAATTCACCAGAGCCAGAGCAGGAGCACAACAGGCAGATTGACAATACACTGCTGAGGGGAGCAGCAGGTGTGGCAGGAGAGGTCTGCGCACCATTTGGGACCCTCACCAGGTGGCCGGGGATCAAACCGGCACTGCAGAGGCTGCAGGCAGCCTCGCAGCCCAGTGCTCAACCACTGCGCCACCGGGGAGTTCCTGCCCATTTTTTGACTGGATTGTTTACTTTGTTTTTGTTGAGTTGTGTGAGCTTTTTGTAGATCTTCATGATCAGTCCCTTATCAGTTGTATGGTGGAGTGCAATAATTTTCTTCCAATCAGTAGGGTGTCTCTTTATTTTGATTAATGTCTCTTTTACTGTACAGAAGCTTTTTAGTTTGATGTAACCCCAGCTGTTTATCTTTTGAAAAAGGAACCAGTCTTGAGAAAACTTAAGAAAGTTCAGTTGGGGAAATAACTAGAGCTCCAAAGTACTCCACAGATGACCAAATTGAAAGTTCCAGAAGCATGGGGTAGGGGATGAAGTGAGTCAGGGAAGGAACATTCTAGGTGGTATTGGGATCAAAGCCAGGTCAGAGGATTTGAGGGTATATTATGTGTGTTATACTAACTCACTTGAAAATTTTAATGCAGAAAGAAATCATCTAATTTATACTTATAAAAGGATTCTAGACCAACACTGCAATCATTGTAAAGGAGACTTGGGATAAGATATACAGTTGACAGAACTTGCTGATATGATAGGTGTATGAGATAAGTGAAAGAAAGGGAAAAATCAAAGTATCTTCTAGATTTTTTTTTTCCTTGAGCAATTATAATAGTAGAGGTAGCTAGAATGTTGTTACTGAGAGGGAAATGGAAACAGGAGAGGTTTTTTATTGCATGAAATGATTGAAACCCTATTCAAAAATACATCTGGGCATGTCTGGAAGGCAGGTGGATGCATGGGACTAGAAAACAAAGGCATTATTAGGGCTAAATTTGTGTTATGGAAACCAGGGTAAAGAGATGATGCTTGAGCCCTAACACTGAATAAACTACTTTGGGAAACGTGTGTGTATTGGGAGGGGTGGAAAGTCCAGAACAGTTACATAGAGTTCATACAGTGGGGTGAAGCCAGCTAAAGAAACTGAAAAAAAAATTATCGCCAGAGAGTACTAGAATTCAAGAGGCCACAGTGATGAAGATTAGAAAGTATTTCTAACCAAAATTTTCCATAAAATCTGCTTGTCAACAGGGAAATTACTGTAAATCTTTGTGAGGTGGATATTATTAGGTAAGATGAAGAGAGCCTAGCAGGGAGTGGCAGCCAAGGCAAGGGTAGAGGAGAAGAGCTAGTGATGCTACACAAACTTGCAATAATGTAGTAAATTGGAGGCTTCAGAAATGATGTAAAAGCTGTAAGGGAAAAGGGAGGACTTTTATTTTTGCAGAAGAAACAAAATATTTGTATGTTTACAGGGATGATCTTTCAGGGATGTAGAAAGTTATGATTTGGGAAAGAGAACACATAGTATTACCTTCTTATTGTGGTTAGGCTAGTGGAAAAGGAGAAAGTGTAGATGAATGTGTGTGTGCATGTGCGTGTGCATGTGTGTGTGTTTGTGTGTGTGTGAGAGAGAGAAGGTGGGGGGGGCTACAAATTATTTCTAATCTTCCTGAAAGGATGGAAATAGAAAGGGTCACATGCTTATAATTCTTGGGAGTGGTGTTGGGTGAGAAGAAAAATTAATTGATATTTAGAAAATGCTACCCATATTAAATCCTTGTATTTCTGTTCATTTCCACTATCGCCTCCTCATTCAAATGCTCCGACCTCTGGTGATTACTGCTGCTTCTCTCTCCATGACCATCCACCTCCCACACTTCCCATCCCTCATCCTGGACACCTCATCATGCAGGGTAACTTCCAACACCTGTCAGAGGGATTGTTTTGATACCTAAATTCAGATATATTGCTTCTCTGAGTTGAAGACTTTAGTTACTTCCTACTACTCATGAAATAAATCCCTTACCACAGTCTGTTAGGGCCTCCCTGTACAATTAAAGTCCATGTTTCTCAAGTCTCTCGCACCACTGATCCCTGAGTTTCAAAGCACTAACACTGCTGCCTTCATTTCAGTTCCCCTGCCATCCAAGGTTTTTTTGCTTAACATGAGTAGACATGTGAAGAGTGTCTGGAGAGATCTCCTTATCAAGTCTGGTTAGAACAGTCTCTCTTGGGGCCCTCCTGGCCCTCTGTAGGGTAAATGAGTTAATGAAGCTTTTTTCCTTCCTACTGCTGAAAGCTTCTGTGACCACAACCTCCGGTCTTGCACTCCCCCTGGGTTGCCTGGATGGCCAGGGTGTGTGTGGGTGTGGGGCACATGAACTTATGTTATGGACACTTGGGGTCAAAGAACATGTATGTGCACACATGTAAATG